GTGAAAGTAAAGCACTGTGAGAGCGGTCGGTCTCGGATACCTCTTTCTCTCCATCACATGCAGGTAGTCAACAGGTATTTGTGAAATGAATGAAGGATTCAGAACTGAGCATACATATCAGGGGAAGCAACACAGTACATGAAAACAGAAAACACAGTTAGTGTGGCTACCATCTGCTACTTGACCCTACGTTGAAAGTATCTCATGCACTCACTTTGTTCGTTTGGCATTTACCGACCGCCAGATACCGTGCTAGGATGGAGAGGCCAAGGAGTAAGATTGTTTCTTCCCTTAAAAGAACTTGCTTTCTTGTGGTGTTGACCTTTTTTTTTTTTTTAAAAATAGTCATTGTTGCTTTCATTGCAAAAGAAAGTAGATTTGGTGCGGGGTGGGAAAGATAATTATATAGACACTGCAGGTCTTAGATTTGTTGGTGGAAATGTAAAGATTATACTAACACCTACATTTATTGAGTCCTCAGAATGAGCAGAAATTTCTCTGACCATCTGAAATGTAGAAACTCATTTAATCTTTTAAGAATCCCATGAAGCAGGTTGTTATGGACTGAATATTTATGTACCTGCCAAATTCATGTGTTGAAGCCTTAAGCCCAAGAACATCTGAATCTGGAGATGAGGCCTCTAAGGAAGTAAGATCAAATGAGGTCATAAGGATGGGGCCCTTATCCAACTGGATTAGTGTCCTTATAAGAAGAGATGTCAGAGAGCTCATTCCCTCTTGTCCACATGTGGTCACAGAGAGAAGATGGCTGTGTGAAAGGCAGGAAGACAGCCCTCACCAGAAATTGAATCATGCTGGACCTTGGTCTGGACTGTCCAGCCTCTGGCACTGTAAGAAAATAAATGTCTGTTGTGTAAGCCTCCCAGCCTGTGGTATTTTGTTGTGGCATTCTGAGCTGGCAGATACACAGGTACCATCACAACCCACCTCCCACAGAAAGGTCAGTGGTAGGAGAGGCTCAGCAACCTCTTCTCGGCGGGTCACGTGGTGAGCACCTGCCGCGCTGGTCCTGAGCCAGCTCACCTGTGCTCCTGCACTGGCTCCCGGCAGAAAGGTAATTCAAGAAAGAAAAGGTTTTCATACTTTCAGTACATGAAAGATCCTGTTGGAAGTTCTTATGCTTTACAACCCATAGCATCTCCACCCTTGTCTTGTTACTGCACTTATCATATCCTTTATCATACAGAAAACCTTACCTTTTAATAAAGTCAAATTTTCCCATCCTTTTCTCAACATGTTGGGCTTTTGGTGTCTTTGAAACGTTCTTAACAAAGCAAAGGTCTTAAATATTTTCTCCTGTATTTTATTCTAAAAGTTTTAAAGCTTCATTTGTCATATTTAGGTCTTTAGCTGGTATTCATTTTTGGGTGTTTTATGAAGGAGGGACTTTTGCTGTGGCCTACGTGGATACCTGATGTCCCAGCTTGCTTCCGAGAAGCCCATGCTTTGCCCACCAAGTACACATCTTTCCACTGATGCCTAAATTCAACATCTGGGCTCTCTGTTTTGACCTGTTGGCCTGTTTATCTCTTCTTATTACTCTGTGGCACTTATAATTTTCCCTTGTCCTGCAGTCCTTGTCTGGTGTTGATATCGAGGTTATACTAGCTTCTTAAAATAAAATGGGAGAGTAGTCTTTTTCTATTCTCTTAGAATAATTTTAATATGATTTATAAAATTTATATCTTTATATTTGTATATGTATTACATGTATTTATAAAATGTATAAGATTTGAATTATCCATTCCTTTAATATTTAGTTCCTATAAATACATTTGGATCTGGTGCTTTTCCATAGGTCATTAAATAATTATTGTCTAGTTAGAAGAATTTCTGTTTCTTTGAGTCCGTTTTGGAAAAATGACATTTTTTTCTAGGAAATTACGTAATGTATTGAATGTATTGTTATTCATAGTATTCTATTGTGATATAAAACTCTATCCTATTCTTAATATTGGTTAGATATGGTTTTCTTCCTTTTTTTTTTTTTGATCTATTGCCTGAGCTTTGCCTATTTCATTAGCTTTTTCACCAAACCAGCTTTTTACTTTGTTGATCTTTTATTATCGTTTCTTTGCTTTTTACTTAATAAATTTATGCTCTTTTGTTTATTACTTTTTGTCTTATTTCTTTGGTTTTACTCTGTTCATCTATCTTCCTGAATTAGATGCTTAGTCTTTCTTCTTTTCTAATAACATTTAAGAACATATATTTCCTTTTAGGTGCATTTTATTTGCATCCTATATGTTTTAACATATGATATTTTATGACTCACAGCTTTCAGTGTTTTTTCTGGTTTATATTAGATGTTTTACTTTGACCCGTGAATTAGCGGGAGTGTTTTTTCACCCTGATCCAGGTGAGCACGGCATAGCTTCCTCGTCATTTCCCTGGGCTGCTTGATGGTCATCTTCCCTCTCTCCCTTCCCTTCCCCTCTCCCAGTTGCCCTTTCTCTGAATGTTTACTCTTTGTGGGTTTTGGTTTTATGTGAGTCTCAGTTCAAATTCTTAGCATTGCGCAGGTCTGAGACATTATTTCCTGCCCTCCATGGGCTTTAAAACCCAATATCCAACATCACGAAGGTGGAAGCTACCTGCCCTCTCACCAGGACGGATACAGGCCGCTCTGCCCCGCCTCCTCCTAAGGGTGGCTGAAAGGTCCTCCCCTCTCTCTCACATCTCTAGTCCTCACTTTATTTCTGGTCTCTAGTAGTTTACTTTCTTGAGGGCTAAACTAAACATTTTTAATATATATATTTATATATACATGTGATATATATAAACATATTAAAATACATATTTATATTTTATCTAGAATTTCTAGATGTTTGTAGGAGGGTTTTCAGGTTATTTAGTCTGCCACTTTTGCTACAATTATAATAAATATCTCCCACTTACTGAATATTCTCATTACAAGAGAATTGTAATCTCTCTCTTCTTCCCGGGTTGTGCCTCCTGATACCTTATGAGAATCTTAAGCGACAACTCCTTTATGGTTTCTGCCTCAGTATTTCAATTCTAGGCTAACCTCGAGGCTCTCTTTGCTGAGGGTAAATCTTACAAAGCCAACTTCTCTAAGACATAATGGGTTCTTCTCTGGAGTTGAGCATAACCTTGGTATTGAATCTGCTATAAATAAGGCTATTGCACCTTGTGTATTTTCTCATTTTTAAATTTCACTTTGGAAATAATCCTATAGCATATGACTACCAAGATTATAACTAGTTAATAGTTCCTTGGTTAAATAAAAAAAAGTGCTCATAAACACTTACTACAGAGAATGTAATATAAGACCTTTGGGGCAGATTATGATGTCCATTTTACAGATTAGGAAACTGAGGCACAGGAAATTCAAATATAAGCAAGAGAAGATTCTGGAATTCTAATCTAAAGATTGAAGATTGAATCCAGTGCTGCACACTGTGTTTAGAGCCCATTTCCCTGAATTAGGAAAAGTAGTTATGTCTAATGCAGCATCTGTTGAGTTTTGACACCCAACAACAAGCATTCATGTATTTTTGTGTGCTCAATATAGCCAGATAACAACTGCTTTTAAATCTTAAGTGCCTTTCCTGTCTGTTGCTATTGCAACAAATGAAAGCAATTCAGGCTATGTTTACTGATAACTTATAAGCAAGAGCAGCAAGCAGCAGGAGGAGCTGCACTAGTTGATGTCTTCTGGAGCACACATTCGACGTGAGAAGCTTGGCTTGTGCCCTACTCTCTACTACGAACTCAGCACGGAACAAAAATGGCCATTTGCATTGGACGGCCGACTTACCCTTCCCACTTCCACCAGGTTGGTCACCATTATTATGCTTGCAGTGTTTTCATGCCACACCATCCTCCAGAAGTCATAGATGGTCTCTTGCATCGGCCCTGCAGCAAAACAGAAAAGAGTCGTTTTTTTTTCTTTGGAAGTTTCAACTGGAAAATTTCTGGGGTTTGCAAATAAATCTATTAAGACCCACATGCAGTTCCCTCACTTTTATAGATGGACATAGCTCTCTAGTGTCGATGCAGAAAGGTACCCTTTCTAAAACTGCGCCTATAGAAATAGCAAATCTCTCAATCATGGTTGAATTTTCTTGTGTCATCAAATATATCTGCATCTGAGCTCTTTTTACCTCTCTTAAACTACCACTGTGAGAGAAAGTTATTTCTCCATCATTCAGCTATTTATCTCCATAATACTCAAGAGTGAAATTTTAAAAAATGGATCACATTGCTCTTTCTGCTAACAATTGGCAGATATCCCAGGGAAGTGGTATATAGAATGAAATGAGCCTCTATAGGAAAAATGGCCTTTTCTTGTTTCTAATATTTTCCTTATTCTGTGCTATCTGTCAAATTAATCCAGTTTTTTTCCACCTGACTTTCTCAAGTGAGAGAGAAGAGTTTTAAGCAGTTGCACTTCCTCTCGCTGAATGTAAAGATTCCTGGCAGAACACGAACAGGCATCTCCCCCTTAGCTCTTGGGATCTGAGTATAAAAAAGCTCTTTCCTATGGCTTGAGTGGAAAAAAAGGGGAAATATGTATTACAAAATGCGAGTGCTACAGATACCATCAGGTATAGAAAGTTAGAATTTAAAATTTCTTTTAATCCAGGTTAAAAAAAGAAAAATCCAAACTCTACTTGTTGCCCATGCATACTTGAGGCTAAATATGTTAACAGTATAAACCTTTATAAGACAAGTTGAAATTCAAGCAAATGAGGAAAATACAACTTCAAGGGCTTGGAGAGTCATATGATACACATGGAATCATACAAATGTTCAGCCACATGCAGGACCAGAACCCAACTGTACTGTTGTATCTTGACATTACAGATGACTGGATTTGGAGCTCAAATACTTGAATTTGAGATGGGATGCCGCCTTTTAATTGGCTGTGTGGCTTGGGGCAAGTTACTTAGCCACTGTGAACTTCAGCGTCTTCTTTACCTATATGCTGATCACAGTCGCACCTTTCAAGGTTATGTTGAGGATTCTTAGAATTAATGTACACTCAGGCATTTTATGAACAGCAAATCAACAGAAGGAAAACAAGGTGCATTTAGAGGTATTTATAAGTGGTCATCCCTGGCTGAGGCCTGGACACGAGGCCCTTCACTGCCCATTCCTCTTGACCGATCACAGCTGCTTCTTGTGTAACTCTCCTCCCTTCTCCCTGTCGAGAGCTTCCTCCCCTCCCTCCACCACACAAACATTTTTTTCTTTTTTAATTGACAAATAATAATTGTACATATTAATGGGGTATAGTGTGATATTTCGATTCATGTATACAATGTGTAATGATCAAATCAGGGTAATTAGCATACTCATCATCTTGAACGTATCATTTCTTTGGGAACCTTTATTTATTTATTTTTTAAAATTTGTATTGAATCATAATTGATCATACATATTTTTGGGGTTCACTGTTGAGATATGCTGATTAAATCAATGTTATTAACATATATATTGTTACAAACATATATATTGTACTTATTCTTTGTGTCCAGTCTTTGGACAATCTCTCCCCATCACCCTCTCCCTCCCCCTCCCCCCTCTAGTTACCCTAGATTTCTTCTCTCCTTCTGAAAGAGTAATGGTTACTCTGTGGATTTGTTGCCTAGATGATCTGTCCAATGCTGAGAGGTATGATCAGGTCCCCCAATATTATCATAGAGCAGATGCTTCTTCAGTCACTCTGAAATGGGCTTTGTGGAGAGAGACATCCTCTTCTTTTCTTTATCTGTGCTGGTGACTCTCCTTGTGTCAATGCACTCCAGTGGTTGGTGGACCATCTGCGTGGTGGTTGTGGCATCTAGCTGCTTTTGTGGCAGCCGTGGTTATGGTGGTGGCTGTGGTGGGCCACCCACATGGAGGTGATGTTTTTGGTGTGTTCCTTGGCACTGGTGGTGTGCCTGGTTGTGGGAGGAGGGTCTAGTCCCTGGATCCATGCCTCAGGTCCCCAGGCAGACCTCGAGGCGCTGGCAGTGTGCCTGGGCTGGAATGAGTTTTTCATCCTTTGTTTACTTTTTTTTTTTTAAAGATGACCAGTAAGGGGATCTTAACCCTTGACTTGGTGTTGTCAGTACCATGCTCTCCCAAGTGAGCTAACTGGCCATCCCTATATAGCGATCCAAACCTGTGGCCTTGGTGTTAATAGCACCATACTCTCCCAAGTGAGCCACAGACTGGCACTATCCTTTGCTTACTTCTAAAATGGTGGAACTTCCTGTGAGGACCAGTACTTGAGCCCTGTGGTTGAGCTAAATTGTTGCTTTGCTGCTGCTTCCCTAGGGAAGGCTTTTTGTGCAGCTCAGGTGTTAATGGTTGACTTTATAGATACTTCCAGCTCTCCAGAGATCCAGTGTACCTGGGTTATGTAGAAACTCTGATCTGGGCCTGAATCTTTTCATCAAACTGCACTCCATGCAATTCTATATTCCTGACCAGTATCCTCTGAGTGGTCCTATACTGACTGGGGGCAGATCAGCTGTCCTTGCTGTGTCCCAGTGTTCTCCCGGTGGGCCCATCTCCCCCACTGCCTGTGCTGCAAACACTCCCCATAGGACAGGCCCTGTGCTGGTCCCTTGCGATGACTCACCAGCCTCTGAATGGCTCCTTTTTTTCAGTTGTTCTGGCTCCTCATTCCTGTGAGGGTCCATGGGAACCCTGTTAGTGGCCTTGCCGGCCTGGGGGCCACCAAGGTCCTCTTCTCCCCTGCCACCTCCAAGGAACTCCATCTGAAGGGCACAGCTGTGGCTTTTGCTGGCTCCTGCTCTGTGTGCTCAGCAGCTCCAGCCTTAAAGCAGCTGTAGCAGAAAATAGTCAGAGCAGTTTTTTCTTTCTCCCATCTATGTACTCTGTAGGTCTCTCCTCCTCTTCCCCTGAGCTCCGGTGGGCCCATCTCCCCCACTGCCCGTGCTGCAAACACTCCCCATAGGACAGGCCCTGTGCTGGTCCCTTGCGATGACTCACCAGCCTCTGAATGGCTCCTTTTTTGCAGTTGTTCTGGCTCCTCATTCCTGTGAGGGTCCATGGGAACCCTGTTAGTGGCTTTGCCGGCCTGGGGGCCACCAAGGTCCTCTTCTCCCCTGCCACCTCCAAGGAACTCCATCTGAAGGGCACAGCTGTGGCTTTTGCTGGCTCCTGCTCTGTGTGCTCAGCAGCTCCAGCCTTAAAGCAGCTGTAGCAGAAAATAGTCAGAGCAGTTTTTTCTTTCTCCCATCTATGTACTCTGTAGGTCTCTCCTCCTCTTCCCCTGAGCTCAAGCAGCCCTAGCTTGGCTGTTGTTGCTTTTTTATAGTTGT